GGAGCCTCGCGGGTGTGAGTTTACCCTCCTCTCCCAAGGAAAGCCTCAAGGATCTAAATAGAAGTCAGACCTGCCACCTGTCCTTTATCTGGGTGTGGATGAAGGGACGGTTATGTCAGAATGTACTTTCAACTAGAGACATCCAAGTATAACTGCAATGGACGGTAACATGTACAATAAACGCTGAGCCAGCAGCGGTGGTTTGTTAATGGAGACTCCAAGAAGGAGGGGCAGGCAGGTCCAGAAGCCCTGTATTCCTCTGTGTCTAGAGTTCAAGCCTCCAGGAATAACTATAGATGCATCTCTAATAGCTACATGCACACAGAGAGGCCCACAGGTCTTCAAAATCACAGCAAGCAGGCCAGGTGCTCTGGTGTTGCAGAATGGGTAGCGTATGTTGTTGGGCGATGTGATCCTGATACTAATTAATAAACGTGCTTTTAGGTTTCTTTTTTGCCACCCTCAAGTAAGCTGGCATGTTTGATCTACACCAGATTTGCTGCCTGGAAGTTTTTTATTTTGTTCTGAACAAGGTCTCTGATTCTTCGTAGCAATAAGAGAACCTCTCTGTTGGGTATACAGTGTTCAGTTGGTCTGAGAAAACACAAAACCCCACCACTCAAGCCTCCAGACTTGTTTACACAGAAAGCTGAACCCGAGGCTGGCTTAGCGTCTGCAGCCTGCTCGGAGGCATTGTTTACTTCCATGTGCCCACATTCTGCCCCCAGCCACCATCTAACACACACACCTTGAGAACAGAACCTTTCTTTGGATGGAGGGGGCTTGGAATGGGATTGGCTGACCACAGCGGCATTGGGTCAAGCACACTGCAGAGAATGGGAAAATTCAACTTGATAAAGTCATGGCTGTGTGCATCACTTTTATTCCTAAGTGACCGAACGAAATGTAGGGGTAAGCTGTGGTGGGTCCATCCACTCAGGGCCACTCAGGCAAAGGAAACACCACCACCAGGCATCAAATTCCTTCTTCTTTCCCTAACTCGGATGTGCGGGAGCCTTCTAAACCCTAATGAGTCTCACTTTGTACAGCAAATTTGCTGAGACATCAAAAAGTATTTAAAAGCAAGTTTTCTGCTTTTCCTTAATGAGCAAGGTGAGGATTTATGGTGTGTGGGGAGGAGGGAGTTGGCTGCCAGGACCAATAGCGGAGAGCCCATTTAACATACTCTAACTTAAGCTCCCGTCTGCATTTGGGGCTCAGAGTATAGAGACATGCAGTTAGGGAGTGAAAAAACGCCATTTGGTTCTGAGCAGATGGCTGGCTAGGGGGCTGATGGCGTCTAAAGGCGTGTCACCCCCCTTCAGCTTGAGTCCCTAAGGGTTCCCCTTGTCTTCCCAATCAATGAAAATTAAAGTGCAAAGAAAGGGTGAATAGTTGGACCTCGAGTCTCTCCTTTGTTTGTCCCAGCTACTGGTGTGCAGGAGTTAGACTCCAACAGACTCCTATAGAAACACTGAAGTTAAACAGTCTCCTGGTTAGCTGAGCCTTTGAAAGAGAGAAGGGGAGAGGAACAGACTTGGGTGGAGGGAGGGGAGGGTCGGAAGGAGGGAGGGAGAGAGAAAGAAAGGGAGAGAGAAAGAGAGAGAATGGATAAAGAGAAGACGAAAAAGAAGGAACAAGAAGAAGAAGAAGAAGAAAAGGGCTTTCTGCCTGATTTCCCCAATACAGAATCGCGTGGCATAAATTAAGTTGGAAAAGAATGAGGCTTTGGGCAGGATTCTGATGGACTTTACGATGCCTTTCAGTTCCGCTTTGCCGCGGTAATCGAGAAATCTGTGCCACGTCAATTTAACAAATACTTGTTACTGAGGGGGTTTGTTAAGGATATCTTGCAAGTCTCCCCCCACCCCTCCACCCCAAGGTTTAAGCCCTTGCGCGTGGAACTTTTGATTTCCAGTTTTCTAAACAGGCATTCAAAGGAGCCTGGGCCCCACTTCCATTTTATAATGAAAAGATTCCTGATATTTCATTTCTTCCCAGCATCTTGGTTCCTACCACTCCTCCATTCCCCGCCCCCCTCTCCTCCCCCCCCCTCCCAGCACTCGGAGCATTCTTCCTGCGGTAGGAAGCAGTTTTCAGAAATCTCGACCTAGGAAAAGGCGCCTGACACTAGGTGGCAAGAGTAAATTAGGATTCGCGCTGGCCCAGGCCGGTGGTGCTGTGGCAAGTCTCCACAGAGCCGCCAAGGGCCGCCGAGCACAGAGCCCCAGGTACCGAGATCTCAGCAGAGTCTCCGCGCCTGGCGGGCGAGTTCCGCGTGGGACGTGGCTCTTACACACTTGCGCGCTGTCCTATTTGGTGTCTCTGGAGGCAGCTGCGGATAACCTGACGTTTAGGACTTCACAGGTAGCTGGAGAATGGCGGCGTGACCTAGCGGAGGCCGAAGAAGAGGGTCACGTCACCGAGTGATGCTGAAGTGACTGTTTCCCGTGATTTCTCTTGGTGTTGGAGGACCCCCCCCCAACCTCTTTTTGTGCATTCTAAGAGAATGTGTGATAAGAACAGCTGCTTCAATGAAATGAACATTTTCCCATGGAAATTACACGTTTGCGCCCCAAAGTGGCTAAGACAGGGCATTTCCAGCAGCCCACCCGACTCGCGGCTTATCCGGGACTGGAATGATGCATCTCGATTAGAATAACGTTTACTCGGACTCTCAGACCTCGCTTTACCCACGAAACTGCCACGGGGTGGGCTTGAGGGAGTAAGAGTGGGAAAGAAACCCCCAAGTGCACTCCAGCACAAGCCCCCACTAAGTTAGGATCCCACCTCCGCCCTGGAGGCAGAGTGATTTGGGTAACTCATTGTGTGATACGTGTGCGCTCGGACCTTCTAATAAACTCACCCCCCCCTTTTAAAATCAAAACAAAAGTTTCAGCGTCCGACGGACGTGCACAGAACTAACCCGGCGTGGTGCGTGGGCGGTGGGGGCGGGCTCACATTGTTGCAGCGGCCTCGGCGTGCGCGGAGGGGAGCTCTTTCTCCGCGCGCATTGTGCGGGAGCAGGTGCTGGCCGCATTACCATACAGCTGAGCGCACAAAGGCCCACTGATTCAGCCCGCGCACAATAACAAACTGCCTAATGACAGCCACGCGAACGACACACACCAAACTCACTTTTTACCAGGCAGAGGGAGGCCGAGGGGGGAAAATGCCCCGGGAGAGGGAGACCGAGACCACAGGGGGACCGCGGTGCGGTGCGGGCATTGCGCCGGGGCGGCGGTGCAGAGGGGCGGGGGCCGTCCCAAGCTCAGGCTTGCAGGCCTGGTGCGGCTGCGGAACGGCGCGGAGACCCCGGGCGCCGCGCGTTCCCGCCCTGACCCCCTTCCCGGCTGAGTCCTCCAGGACGCAGAGTCGCTCTCTGGGCAGGGAGGGGTGTTGGTGCCAGTCTTCCCGAACTTCCAGCTCCGGCCGCTGCCCGCCGCCCGCACCTCCCAGCAGTGTTCTCCGCCCTCCCGCCAGTTGGTGGCTCCTCCCGGGGAAGGCCGCGCTGGGCAGAGGAGCGGCGCCGCCGGGATTGGGGACTTCTGGGACGTGGTCCCCGCCCCCGCCCCGGACTGGGCTAGGATCGGGTCGCCCCGCAGCGCGCAGCGTCCGGCAGGCACAAGTTGGACGCGGCTCGGCGCATACAGGAGGCTCCCGTGGTTCCCTGCGTTTGTGTCCGCACGTTTGCTCCGGGCACGCGCGAAGAGGCGACGCGGGAGTCGGGGTACGGGAAACGACGCAAGGGGATCAGGGTCGGTGCGGGGTACCCGGGGTCGGTGCGGGGTACCCGGGGTCGGTGCGGGGCGCCGGGTACCGGCTGGCGCAGAGGGCTGGGAGGCCTGCGCGCGCGGGTTCGCAGGAATGTAAATGAGCGCGCAGTGCGGGGCGGGC